GGTCATTTTTTTCATAAAGCCGGATTTTGCTCGAGAACGTTTGCGTAATTTATTTCACCTCTTCAATCAGCGTGCTCTTCGCCGGTAAAATTAAACATGGTGGAACACTTGTATCTTCCTAAATTAATATATCTGTTGACTGTTTTATAGCCATATCGCTCTTCGATGTTTTATTTCGTCTTCAAATCCCTTCAGAAAGTGCCACAGTCGTACCAGTGCTGGGCAATTTTTCATTGTGGCCTGAAATTTTCGTCGCAATTATGTACTGGAATAAATGAAAATTTTGCTAACCGCAAACATTTTAACGACCCCGCTCGCCAAAAAATATTTTAATACATTACAACTTTAATTTACAAAATTTGCGGTGTTTACCCCGCATTTCAACAAAAATAATGTTAAAATATTCCGTATTTCCACCAGAATTTACCCACTGGTAATTGAAATAAAATTTAAAGTACCTCCAAATTACACCGCTATTTACATCACTATGTCTCGGGAATTGAACATAAATAAAATCCAAAAAACATATTATGCTCGCTTGAAATCCCAGGTGGCCCTGCTGCCGTATTTTCGAAAAGTACGACTTTCTTCGTACCATGCTGTAGTGATCTATAAAATGCAGATTTATTTTTTTCCATTTTCTCTGCTGAACAAAGCGTTACTAAAACATCGTTACATTTCGATTTTTGTCAAAATTTTTTTAAAGCTAGAAAATGGAATGATTGAGTTTTCAAGGAGAAAGGTAAATAAGTTCGTTTTCGATAATATTACCTTCGAAAATAGTGGTAAATTAAAATCGATCAAAACCACCTCTCCACTTCAAACTTTTCAAGCTGATGAAAAGTCAATGCTAGAATTTGGTCTGCGTTTGTTGTGCTATTCGTTTTTCGTTACAGATCATTTTGTTATGGCAGTTGTTAACTGTAATTTTTGATGTAATATAATGTAAAATTTAATTTACATACGAATATGAAACCGTTTTTCATTATCTCACGGTTTCAAGATATGTACGGTAAAAACTGGTTTATTCGTTTTCCATCATTCCCAAGCAAAAAATAAAAATTGAAAATTCTTGGACTTGTTTATTGGCGTACATTGAAGAAATTGCTGCAGAATCACACTTTATCTTAAAATTTTGTTCTAAAGCAAAGCGTTTTGATATCTTAAATCCATTGGCAGATTGAGAAAAACGGTTTCATATTCGTATGTAAAATCATTTTACATTATATAGCATGCTAAAATTCTGCAGTTAGCAACACTTATGTAATAATTAAAATGGTCTGTAACTGTAAACTAATTAAGATAGGGCAACCAAAACCTGGATTAGTAGATTCCGTGCATTGTTTTTCATCAGTTTGGAAAAGTTTGGGAAATATTGGGGAGGTGGTTTATTTGATCAGTTTTTAATTTACTACTAATTTTCCGAAATAATGATGTTATCGGAAAACTGACTTTGATATCTTTCGATCCCCTTGAAAACTCAATCGATTAGAGTTTTCCATTTTCTTCTAGCTTTAAAAATTTTTGACTCCAAAAAGAGTCATGTAATCCCTCTGATGTTTTTGAGTGGCCTGGTCAACTTTGAAAAATGAAAAACTAAATCTGCCATTTTATAGATCCTTACCACGGCATGAACAAAATGAAGAAAGTTCTTTTCTAACTTTATTACTTTCCGAGAAAATTGCGGCGGAAAACTTTTTAGGCACATGTTATATTTCAAATTATTAGAATGTTATCTTACCTAGGATTTCATACTGAGCCTAATAATGTTTTTGGTTTTTATTTATCTCTTCTAGTTCCCGAGATAATTGCTTCCCGAGTTTCTTTGCGAGTGTAATTGAAATTTTTAAATTTTGTTTTCAGATTCTGAAAGTAGATTAAATTCTGAATTGGAACTGCAAATTGTATTTTAACTTTATTTTTTGTTGAAATACAGGGCCAAACTTTTTTTTACAAATTTTTTTCAACAAAAATTCAAAGTTGAAATAATGTACAAAAATAATTTTTGCTTGAAGAGCAGGGTCAAACTTTTTGCGCTAAAATATTTTTGGTTAAAAAACAGGGCCGAATTTTTCGGTTAATTTTTATTCCAATTCTATGAATTACGACGAAAATTTTCAGATTTTTATGAAAAAATTGCCAACTTTTGAAGGACATTTTAGGGCACTTCTAAAGGGTTTAGAGGATTGAAATAAAATACATCGTAAA